TCCTTGAAGAAGCTTTGTGCCATAGCGATAGTTGTTCTAGTCATGCTCGTAATCGTCTAGTAATGGAGCTTAGCTTGAGCTGCTTGCGTTGATTTACAGGTTCGACTGGGGTTGAAAGGACAGAGTTCAGGACAGCTCCCCTAGACCCTCCATCTACCGCCCTAAATACCTACTATTTGGGGACATATACCCCGATTTAAGGGCACAAAGATGGTCTTGGTCCTCCAATTTTTTTCGCCAAACAGGTTCTCCATCCTTCGGCAATGGTCCCTTGCATCGAGAACCGCATCCCTGTGCCTCGTCTCAGTTGCTGCATAATTTAATACACTACACACTTCTGGCCCAAGGCTATGAGAGCTCAGGGCAGTTAGCCGTAACTAAAGCGTACTTGAAGGTGCCTGGCAGGCAGTTCCTAAACGTGGGGCTTTAAAACGTCCCCTGCCGCTGCGCTGAGGTGCTGGTGAAGCGACTCGGAAAGAGAACTTAGGGGCTGAGTAGGTAACCTTTAACCTTTTGGGGATTATATAACCCTACTATAATTCAAAAGGTTAACCTTTTTTGGGCTAGGGTACTCAGCCCCTAAGAGAAAGACTTTCGGTGTTTTTGGAGCTCCCGCCTTGGTGTCTTAAGTCCTGAAGCCAGGATCGCCAACACAAGCTCATGTTTCTTCATATTGTATTACATTATTTTATGTTATGCTGTCTTGTAATGGGTTATGTTAGGTTAGACTATAACTTTTAGTTCCTTTCACAGTGTGTACCCAGGGCTTGCTCATCGGTCACTCCTTTGTGCATTGCCAGTGTAGGCTTGTTCTTCCGCTGCCTTGCTGTTGGTACCATGTCGGGGTACCGGGGGCATGTGCCGAGGGTATCGTTTTAGCATTTCGCTTATGCGGCGATACAGACATTCGGCTTTTCCGAGTGTTTAAAGTTTAACCTTTTCAATGTATCTGAACTTCAGGTTGGCACCGTTCTTGCTAACAGCTTTTGCCCCTGTCTGCAGCCTATGCCTGTGAATCCGAAGCCCTCGGCCCTGCAACCGCCGAGAGTAAAAGAAGGCCCTCTAAACCCTAAACCCTTATATGATCTGAGTATGTCCTTGGACCAGTAGGCTTGTCCGAGTCTGAGTGTCAAAAAACCGTCCGCCTGAACCCGACGGCTTCCCGAAACAGCCCGAATGTAAGGGCCTTAATAGTTAGAATAGGGTTTTAGGGTTCCTTTAAAGGGTTTCTAAGAGCTACTATAAGGGTTTAGGGTTTAGGGGCCTTAATAATTAGAATAGGGTTTTGGGGCCCGTTATTCTATAATTATAATACGGAACCCCCAAAAATTTTATGGGTAATTATTTAGGCCGGGCCCGCACTTTTTTTTTTTCCTAAGGTTGGCGGTCCCCGG